AGTGGCTAGACAAAAGCAACCTAAACTCATAATACTTCCTGAAGTCAAATCTAAAAGAAATGTTAAAGGAAGTTAACATTTATTTTTTTCCCCAGGTTCAGATGCACTCTTTAAGACTGTAGCACTGCACATGCAGCAGACGCTTTACTTCATGGTGATATATGCCACGTACAATTTACACGCCTGGCCTCTCTCTGAGGGGTTAGTGGATTTCTAGAAAATGTTTTCAGAAAAGCCCATTTTCTACCTGAGATAGGCAATCAAGAAAGACTGTGAAGAGCATGATTTCTAAAAACCTAACCACATCAAGGACTCAACTACCCAGGATTCATTGACTGAACCCAGGAAGGCTTCCTGAGCCCTGTGTCTGAAATTCGGAGCATTTCTTCCTTTCTAAGCAAAAGTCTGAGGGGGTTTGAACTGAGATTTCCCATCTCTTGGGGAATGTCCTGTCAGACTATTGGTACTCTGAAGGGAAGGAAGGGGACACCATTGGTATCATTTTTTGTGCCGAGTAAGTATAAGAACATGGGAACCAGAAGGAGCTGAAATAATATCCAGTCTTCTTCAGTTAGTGGCTGGCAGACAGATTCACTCTATTGGAGGCATCCAAAGAGCAGAAGGAGAGGGCTGTTATTTTAGAGATGGCCTTTTAAGTCTGCTCTTACCCAGCAGTCAGAAAAATGCATCAAGATGGAAATGCATACCTGTGACCTTCTTTTCTTGTATTCCCAGTCCTACAGGTAATTAGTCTCCTACTCCTTGTACCAGATCTAAGGCAGCAGGCGTGAAACCTGAGGGTAATATATATTCTGTGATACCCACGAATGCTTCTCAGTTCCCAGGAATGAATATTCAGCCTTGCCAGAAGTTCAATTCTGTATCAGCACGAGGTCTGACTGGTAATCCCCATTCCCTGTCACGGTTCTTATGGTAAAGAAACATATTCCCAAATGGTTTCCCAAATGGTTTCCAGTAAAGTGTCACATGTAACATAGCAGATTGGTTCCCCAGATATAATTTCATTTCCCTTCTCCTTTGTGTGCACTGGAGATACATGGTGGGAGGAGAAGGAGGTAACTAGTAATGAAAGGAAAAGAAGAAAGGGCATCCTTCACTTGCACACACACACGCATGGAAGGAAGTTGAGGAGGAAAGAGGGACAAGTGTTATGTGTTCACTGAGGAGAAACTCCCTCAAACGAGGAGAAAACAGCAGGACAAAAACGGAGATGAAGGAAAACCGTTTGTGAAGAATTTTGGGGAGAGGGAAAAGTGTCCCTGAGGCTGCTCCACTTTGTACTGGGAAGGAGGGAGAGGAAATAACCAAAGGTGCTGGTACCAAAGGCTTCTTGCTCCCTCTGCAGCCACCCTGCTGCCCACCGTCACCCAGCCCGGCCTTATCACTGCCTTTTCCCCAGCTGATGCCTGAGTGCAGACCACAGGTATAAATCCAGCAAGCATCTACCAGAAAGCTGGCACAGGTTGTCCAGAGAAGTTGTGGACGCCCCATCCCTGGAAGTGTTCAAGGCCAGGTGGGATGGGGCTGTGAGCAACCTGGTCTGGTGGGAGGTGTCCCTGCCCACGGCAGGGGGTTGGAACTAAACAGTCTTTAAGGTCCCTTCTAACCAAACCATTCAGTGAGTTTATGAATACTTTTTGCTTAACATCCAGTAGAGCAGGAGCCGAAACCAGCAGCACATAGAGTCCTTTATGCATGCCCTTCTTCTCCTTTTTCTTCTTTCCATCTTCTTTTCAAGGGAAGTGAGAGTAATAGTTTTTCTCTCTCCCAAGCTCTGAATGAATTTCTCATGTCCCATTAAAGAGATACAACAAAAAAAACCCCTATTGAATAAAAAGATTATGTAAATCTTTGTTTTCTACTTTTCTTTTTGATCAAGCTTACAGGCAAGCTGGAGGATGAATGCTTGTTAGTGAATCTGGGTGGAGTTCTGGTGGATAATAACCTCTTGGTGCTGAACCCTGCAATGGCAGCAAGAGGTAAGAGTCCCTGCACGTGCCCTGAAAACTTCTGAAGTTTTCATTATATCAGAGTTGGATTTTTCTGCTTACTGATGATTTTTGTTGCTTTCACTTAGAATTGCTACTGTTCTCTAAAGCAGTTTTAAAAAACTACAGTCAACACATGAAGGCTCCTGTGGTACCTGGCATCTGTCCGTGCAACTGAGAGCTAGGTACTACAAACGTTAAAAACACTTCTGCCAAGGAACTATTCAGTGAGGTATATCATGGCTAGTGCTTCTTCTCTAGGAAAAAGAAAACACCTGAAGACTCTTTATTAAATTACTCTTCTTTGTAAAATTGTATCTCTTTACTCTTTGGACGATGCTCTTGTTTTGCTTCTTTTTGCTTTTGTCAAAGCTTCAAAATCTTTCAGAAATGAGAGACAAAATGATAATGTAGTGCAAATTCAGGCACGAGGAATAAGGAATTGAGCTAACGTAATTTGCATGATTCTGATTACTGATGATGGGTCTCTATAGTTTGACGTTTCGGTTTGCCACATGCACCCCTGTATTTATCTAAATGCCTCTGCAAACACAGTCACACTCCAAAACAGCACAGATGGCAAAAGCATTTTCATGTATGTTTTGAGGTGGTCTTCTAAAGGAAGCAAATATTCTGCAGAAGCAGAATAATGCAATCAAAATATGTTTAACGTTCAACCTATTTTAACGTTAGAGTTATGCAAATTTCATCAAAACAGGGATTTAAACCAAAACTGAACTGCACACTGAGCGACAGCTGTGTATGGTCTGCCGGTGGCTTTCCACAGCAGCACACTGTTCCACGCTCCTTCAGCTCCCTCTGCTGCTTAACCAAGTCCCTTAGTCTTCATATTTGCAAGGAGCTTTCACTCATTTTTTGTAACCTTTGTTTTAATGAGAAAAAATGATGCAGATTAAAATTGCACCTAAAGCAATGAAATGATTGCCTGAATTGATAAACAGTGTGTGCAAAGTTCCATGTAATTATTGTCCCTCCTTTTCTCAGGGAATGACAAGAAGCCCATCAGACTCTTCTGATTGCTTTCTGGTGATGTGTAGCACATATATTCTGCCCTTACAATTTGACTTGGTGTAACTGAAATGTATCTGTTGCTTAAGCTGACATTTCCTGGTTATGTGATTTTATTTCATAGAATCATAGAATCATTTAGGTTGGAAAAGACCTTTAAGATGATCAAGTCCAACCGCTAACCTAGCACAGCCAACCCCACCACTAAGCCCTGTCCCTAAGCACCACACCTACATGTCTTTTAAATACCTCCAGGCATGGGGACTCCACCACCTCCCTTGACAGCCCGTGCCAGTGCTTGACAACCCTTTGGGTGAAGAAGTTCTTCCTAATATCCAATCTAAACCTCCCCTGGTACAACTTGAGGCCATTTCCTCATGTCCTACCCCTTGTTACTTGGGAGAAGAGACCGACCCCCACCTGGCTACTTTCAGGTCGTTATAGAGAGCGATCAGGTCTCCCCTCAGCCTCCTCTTCTCCAGACCAAACCCCCCCAGCTCCCTCAGCTGCCCCCCATCAGACTTGCGCTCCAGACCCTTCACCACCTTCGTTGCTCTCCTCTGGACTCGCTCCAGCACCTCAAAGTCTTTCTTGTGGTGAGGGGCCCAGAACTGAACACAGCACTTCTGAACACAGACATCTGGAGTGCTGGGTCCAGTTCTGGGCTTCCCAGTACAAGACAAACATAGATATAGTAGAGCAAGCCCAGCAAACTGCCATGAAGATGACAAACAGATCAGACCATCTGACCTACAAAGACAGACGGACAGCTGGGACTCCTCAGCTTGGAGGAGAAAAAGTTCAGGGAGATCTTATCAAGGTGCATAAATACCTGATGGGGCAAGGGTGGAAGCAAAGAGGACAGAGCCAGAGTCTTCTCCATGGTGCCCAAGGAAAGGACAAGAGGAAATTGGCACGAAGTGAAATGCAGGAAACTCCATTTACACATAAGGAATAAAAAAAACAAACAAGTAAACCTGCAAGGGTGATCAAATGCTGGAACACGTTATTCTGAGAGGCTACGGAGTCTCCGTCTTCAAATATTCAAAAAACAACTAGACACACTTCTCAGCAGCATGCTTTAGTTGACCCTGCTCTGCACAGTGTCTCCAGTAGTCCCTTCCAACCTCAGCAATTCTACGCTTCTGCAGCTGTGAACAACTTTACACAAGAAAACTGACACCACCACCATTACTCGGACTTTGACACACTATGAAGTTGAAAGCCTGTCTAAAATGTTTTGCAGTTTGTATGAAACAGTAACAATCAGGGCACCATTTCATCTTTTGTGGAACTAAATTTCCCACTTGAGTCTGGATCCAGTCCCTGTTACGGCAGCTATGCCTACAACCCTTTGACTGGGGAGCCATATCTCCATTATGTCAGTGAACCGCACCTGTGGTTGAATCCCACCTTTAATTTCAAGATAGAGAAGAAAATGTGGTTCTCTTGCATCCATGACAATGATTATAATACCTTATATTTGGAAATAACAGAGGAATGAGACAGTTTCTCCAAGACTTAGAATGAAGCTAGCAGCTTCTTGCTTTCCTCAGATGGATTTATGCACCTAACAAGTCTAGGAAGAAGACCATAAGCTACACCAACATTTTGAGCAAAGCTCAACCCGGTGGACAGATTCTCACCAATGCTTATCCAGCTTGTAGGTTTGATCTGGTAAGCAGAATTGTCAGGCAAATTCCTAAAAAGCCAAAGGGTTCTAGGTACCTGTAAAGTTAACATTAGATGAGCTGGAATTCCAAGAATTTCAGGATGTGCTCAAAAACAAATGTGGCAGTTATTAAATCTAGAGCCGTAGTTCAGGCGCGCATCTTTTAAAATTGAGTGATGAAGATCATCAAGTTTATGACTGCGTTTCAAAGATGATGGAAGTGTAAAGATTTTACAAAAAGATTTATTCAGTAACATCGAAACTTTTAGAAACCAAGTCCTAGTCAGACTGAGCGGAATTAAATGTGCATTGAAATATGCAGATCATTATTTCAGAGGTCATTTGGTGAACTAAATTATCTTGCTGCAATAACAGGTGAGGAAATACGTTTTTAGTCTTGTTTGTTTACTTTGGTTACTTCCGTGGAAGTTGGTTCCTGGAAAAAGTTTACAAAATTAATTGACACATTTGATAGAATTGCCCTTTCCACCAGTACTGTGTGTGTAGACTGTAGCTCCAGATGTTACAGAACAATCAGATATTAACATAATTCTTCACTTTTTTTTTCATTTACAAATTAGCATTATAGCGATCTCTGTTCTGAAAGTCTCTGTAAGCACGTTTTGCATCTGTTTTACTGTGCGGGATTCTTCCAAAAGGTTCCAGATCATTGAAGCAGGCATCAAAAACTTCATCCACAGCTTTTTCTGCCACTTCTTTACTAACTTTTCTAACAGCCAGAATGGAACGAATTGCTCTGTCTCGTACACAAGTCTAAAGTGAGAATTAGATAAAGAAAATTCTGTCATTATTAGTATAAATAACTTTTTTCTAGATTTTGTCAAGTATTAACTCCTACTACATATGCAATAATATTGTATCACAGAAGAGTCAAACAATGCCTGTAATAAGCATTAAAGTACATTTTTGTTCCATCCTGTGTTAACTATGTGTTTTAGTTTTCCATTTGCAAATAAACTGTCAGATAAGTAAAAGACATTCCTTAGAAGATGAATTAAAATACAATCTGGCATTTGTTATAGGTATCAAGTATTTGTACAACTTGACTTGGACACAAGAGAAAATACGTCAAAAAGAAATGGACATAAATATCAGTTAGTACTTTTCCAATTGAAATGCTATAAAACATAAAGAAATTACTCCTCTACTGGCCTTCATTTTGATACTTCTCTTTATGGCAACTTTTGCTTACACAGTTTGTCCACTAAAAGATAAAATAAAGATGTAAACATCCCCAGCTACAAGCTAACTGCCACTCTAACATGAACAACTACTTAGGATTCAACCCAGGTCTTCATTACTATTAAAAAAAAGTTAATTCCTATAAGGCTTGACACACACGGTTATTTAGAATCCTTGTCATTCTCCTTCCTCCAGTTTTTAAAGACTTTAGAGTTTCACCCACTTATAGTGAGTAAGGTATTCCCACTACACTTCCTGCAAACCCTGTTTTTTGTTTGGTTCTTGTTAACTATCCATTGTCAGTGGTAATGCTCTACGATACGACTAAGTATTCAGGAATTTCACTCCAACAAAAATAACAAGGTGGAAAAAAAATTATCATGCATCATTAAAGTTTACTAAAGGTTAACTAAGAGAAAGCAGCAAGTCCATTGCATCTACTTCTTTCTTTGATGCCTTCAGCTATGAAAGTGTAGAGGGCCGAGATCAAGTAGGTAAGGATGACTCATAACAAATCATTAGACTTTAACATCTACAGTCTTTACCTGATGGTGTCCTTTCAATCCAAATTTAAACCTGGCTATTTCATTCATCAGTGTACAGTCTCCACTGAGATTGGCAGCTCGAATCTATCGAGAAAAAACAGCCACACGTCAGAGAAACACATGGAAATACAAGGTCAAAAAAGCTGTAACAAATTTTTTTCTTCAGTAGCTTTCTGGTGGCTGCTGGTAGAGAATATTCCCAGGGCCACTTCTACTTACTAAGTACCTATTACCCTTTATATCCACCCTCTCAGCCCCAGTGAACTGCAAAGTATTACTACAGACAATCTGAGCTTCTCCAGGGACCAAGTCTCACATATTCCCAAAGCTTAAATGAATCAGCAGAAGAGATCGTATGTATATGTGTGTATAAATATATATCTCCATGAACTGCTAAAAGAACATGGAAAGTAATATTCTCCCCAATCTATACCAGAAGCCGTTACAAGAGTCTGGAAGAAAGGCAGATACCTTTCAAAGACTACAGCTGCAACACCCAGAAGAGCAGTAACCCACCTGCTTTAGGAAAAGCCACATTTAAATAAGTATGTATGTTTTAACTTGCTAACTGTCTTGTCCTGTGCACTGTAATTTCTTTTGTCTGCCAACTGTCACACACTCTATCCCCCCAGTTCGGAAATATAACTAAAACTAGAATTCCTACAATTAAATATCAGAGTGAGAATAAATGCATGGAAACTATGAAATGTAAGAATTAAAAAGCTGATAATAAAAATTGTGAACACCATATAATAAGTATCAAAAGACCTGAAGCACACAAATAAACTCAACAAGAGCAAGAATAAGCACAATCTTGTAAATGTTCTCTAATTTTATGTTTGAGGCTTATAGGCTTTATTCTGCACTGAGTAAATGCTTAAAAAAAAAGTAGAAGATAGCTAGTAATTTTGAATTGTTGTATTGGGTTTATGTGGCAAGATGTTGGCAGCGGGAAGCCTGCCAGCGTGGCTTCTGTGAGGTGAGACAAAGGGCTTGCCCCACATTGGACTGAGCCAGTTTCAGCTGGCTCTAAACCAGACCCACCACTGGTCAAAGCTGAGCCCATCAGCAGTGCTGGTGGCATATCTGTGATGACATATTTAGAAAAAGATTAAAAAGGAGAGTGCTCCAGGCACCAGCGCAGAGACTGCCCTGACACCTGTGGAGAAGACCATGGTGAGGGAAGGATCTCTCCCTGCAGCCTATCAAGGAACACAGTGGAGCAGATATCCACACTGTAGTCCGAGAAAGACGCCACGCCAGAGCAGACAGACACGCCCTGAAAGGGTTGCAGCCCACAGACAGCCCATGCAGGAGTAGGTTTTCTGGCAGGAACTGTGGCCCGTGAGGGACTGACGTTGGAAAGCCTGAAAGGCTGTATGCTACAGAAAGGACCCATGCTACAGCAGGTCTTGAAGAAGAGCAGACCATAGGAAAGACCCACATTGGAGCAGTTCATGAAGGACTGTGTCTGGTGTGAGGTCCCTCCCACGGGATCGGGGAAGAGCACGAGGAGGAAGGAGAAGCAGAGATAATTGTTACAAACCGACCGCTGCCCCCATTCGCCATCCCCCTGTGCTGCTTGGGAAGGGAAGGAGATAGAAGAGTCAGGAATGAAGGAGCAAAGTCACGCCTGGGAAGAAGTGGAGGTGGGAAGAAGGTATTTTTAGTTTTATTTCTCACTATCCTACTCTGTCATTAATTGGCAATAAATTAAATTCATCTTCCCCAAGCCGAGTGTATTTTGCCCATGACGGTAATTGGTGAGTGACCTCCACATCCTTATCTTGATCCACAAGCTTTTTGATCTTATTTTTCTCCCCTGGAATATTGAGCAGGGGGAGTCAGAGAATGGCTTAGTGGGCACTTGGCAGCCAGCCAAAGTCAACCGCCCCCAGTTATACAGAATGGCTTTGCTGATACCACATAAGGTTATGTCATGAAGTTTTATCTATGAAAAGATAAAGATAATATATAACTGTGACTCTCTTTCACAGCAAATATGAATTCAATTAATGAATTAAAATTAATTTTAATGAACTCTGTTTTGTTCTGTACCAAACTCATCATTTTGGTTCTCTCACATACTGTTTATAGGTGAAACCTGTGCACATCTTAAGTCTGGAATCAAATATGTTCTCATTAAAAACAAACAAACACAACCCCAAAACAAAGCCACTATAATAGTTTTATGTATTTTTAAAACACAGCTAAAAAGCCACTTAATTCACACAGTCACAAGAATGTATTTTCATAACATTAATCATAAAGGTAAGTTTTTCTGTGGCTAAGTTATATAGATTACATCGTAAATCAACTAAAAGCATGTGAATACACACAAGTTGTGTACACAAGAGGAATCCTTACTAGCCTGTGCTCAGTTTAATTTCACCTCCCAATTCATCATTTTTTAAGGCCTTTCAGGCAGGAAATGTCTATGTTGTCTGAAATGGACACAGAGTCATAACTAAAGTGTACTATCAGCCACACCACAACTAACCAAAAAATATATGTTATAGGAAAAGACGAGTTTGTTGTTAGCCAAAAAACTCTAAACAAAAATAAGGTTATCATACTATTGTGATAACTACCCAACATACCAAGATTTGCAGGGGAGAAAAAGAACCCTATAAACTTTTGACTAATGTGTGAATGTACTCTCATTTGTTAATAACCACTTCTTGTTACGGTTACACTCAGAGTGGTCACATTCTCTTTAATATGACACTGACTTATGAATATTGCTGAAAACTAAATATTTGTTTTCAGAATGAAACTATTTAGGTTGACCTAACAGAAAAGACGAAATGTACTAACAGGATTAAACCAAATGAAGTCTGTGTAACAGCATGCCTCTTTAAACATGAAGCATCCCTAATAACCAGCAGTAATTAATACAATGACAACATTAGAAGCATTTTAACTTACCTCTGAACATGCTAAGTGTTTGACATTTTTAAACCAGTCAACATGTGCACGGCAGTGATCAAAAGCATGAATCAATTCGTGTGTGACCACCCGGTTCATATGGGATTGGTGATGAATGTTGTTCTGACACAGAACAATCTGTGGAAGAAAAGATATAGGTAGTCTTTTCACCAAGTTTCAACATCTCCCTTACTTCTCAGGGACCCAGCACACATCACCTACAGCATTTAGACTGTTTAGATCAGTGTTTTTCAACATTACAAGCCTCATTATTCTGCAGCATACTAGTTCCAATACCATGTAATATCTTTCATTTATCTTGTTTTCATTACTAACTCAGATATCAGCATTAGTAGATTTAATCCTAGTAAAAAAACACTAAAAATAATTGTAGTCCTTTGAAAGAGGGCAAGTTCCAGTGCCTACCTGAGATGTGGCAGAATCAAAACCTCCACCGACACAGCTATCGCAGTTTTCACAAGAAAAGTGCCGGTCATTGAAGACAGTGCTGAAAAGCCCAAAGTTATAGGGAAGAATTTGAAAAAGATCAGTAACTCCATATAATAGTGATGTTACTACACAGAACAAGATGAATTAGTCTACATACCAACCAGATTGCTTCATAGCCTCAAGAAGAAGTTGAGCATATGGATCTAGAAAAACATGGCTGCAGTCAATTTCTCTACACAAAAGTTTTGCAAGTCATCTATAATCAAAATATAAAGACAATCAAGGAAAAAAAAAAAAGGAAAAGCACTACACATGCAAATTCATACTTTGCAGCATTTAATCCTAATACAATGCAACTGGCATCTGTTACAGCTCAGGCTATGTAAAGTGATACAGACCCATGACATACACAAAGCTATTCAGGAATCAGGTCACTTCTGACATGTTATTGGTAGTAAACATAAGTAGAGTGGGCTATAGGGACCAGTGTTTTCAGTAACATTCACAGTCAACGTTACATAATGAAATGGGCACAAATGAACCAGAAATCGACAAATCCTCTCAAATTTTCAATAGGAAGACGAGCAG